CGATTTTAAAAATTTTCAGCCGTTTGGTATGTTGTGCCAAGGTTAACCACTGTGAAAAGTTTGGAAGAAATTGGTGTAGCGGTTACCAAGATATACACATGTAATCATAAGTGAGCGTGGCTACGCCTATGTTCCACAAATATATTATATTCTTATTTTTCGTCTAAAAGTCACTGTGAATATCAATTTTCAGTGAATATGCTTAAGTAATTACTAAAAGATTGCAGTTTTCGTATTTCTGAAAACTAGCGTTATATGGGAAGTGGGCGTGATTACAGTCCGATTTGGCCCATTTTTAATACAAAAATGCGTTGGGTAAACGGCAATCTATATACCAAATTTCGTTGAGATATCTCAATTTTTGTACACGGACGGACTGACAGACAGGCATGGCTTAGTCGAATTCTCTTTTCATTCTGATCATTTATGTATACATTTGTCTATATCTATCTCGACTGGTTTTGTCTGTTATAAACAACCGTTATGTGAACAAAGTTATAATACCCTTGTGCACAAGTGTGCTCAGGTATAAAAATAATGCTTTTAAATGCATTCAACCTTGTAACACAAATAAAAACAAAGAAAATTCTAATGTTTTAAACTAGATCGTTCCATTATGACGGTGGCTAATAATGGGAATGAAGTTAAAGCATCTCGCCGCCTATTTATTTATGATAAATCCAATAAATTAAATTTTTTAATCGATACTGATGCAATCGTTTCGGTCATTCTTTCTTCAAAATTCAAATCACATAAAAGAAATTCAGATCTTAATTTGACTGCAGCTAACGGTTCTTCCATTAAAACATATGGTACAAAACTTTCAAAAATTGATCTAGGTTTAAGATGCGATTTTGAATTCCCTTTCATATTAGCGGATATTTCAACACCAATCATATGCGCTAATTTTTTAGAGAAATTTGGTATATTAGTTGATATTAAAAATAGAGAAATTACTGATTCAACAACAAAATTTAAAGTTTCTGGATCATCTGGTTTTCGCGATATATTTTCAATAAGGATACCAATTTCTGAAATTTTCTAGACTTTTAAATGATTTTCCTTCAATTACTTGTGAACCAGATTACACTAAACCAGTGCAAACGGTTCACAGAATCGAAACAAAAGGAGTGTTACCTTTCTCTAAACCTCGTCGTCTTGATCCAATTAAATTTGAAATAGCAAAAACACAATTTGAATTTTTAGTTAAAACAGGTATATGTAGACCTTCACACTCTCACATTGCATCTCCTTTACATTTAGTTTCCAAAAAAGAACCAAATGATTGGAGACGTTGTGGAGATTACAGAAGACTTAATTGCATTACTATTCCAGATCGTTATCCGTTACCTCACATTCATGATTTGACTATTGATTTAAAGAACAAACAAATATTTTCAAAAATTGACCTTGTATATTACCAAATACTGGTTGTGAAGAAGATATGCATAAAACAGCAAT